AAAGCAAGCAGTGCTGCAGTTCTGATCTTGGCCCCTCCCATGAGGCAAGTGTGTGAGCCCCAGGAAGTCACCTCATGCCCGTGATGGTGGTGTTATCAGCTCTCAGCACACACGGGACCAGAGCAGTTCTACGGGGCTGCCTACCCTCCCTAGCTCTTTGCAGAATTTCTCATTGGGGCTGCCCCTGATGGCCTCCCAGTCCTGCCTTACTTTGTCCTGTGGGAAGTTGGGACATGTCTTAAGTTAGGGTCTACAGCCCAGGAAAATAATTCCACCTAACCCAAGTAGATTCTCCAAGAACTCTGGAAGAGGACGGTCCCGAATTGGGGAAAGGGGCAGAGAGTGCCGCTCTACTACCCTAGTCTTTTGTTCAGTCGTTGTGGTTAGGACTTTGGTTATGACTGTAATTATCACATCAGCCTCACAATGTCCATCATGGTTCTGTTCACCAGCGGGATCTATCTTATGCTGAACGCCCTGAAGAATATAGGCTTGTGAGGCTTTTACATTGGCTCCCTGAGCTAAGCAATTCCTTGTGGCTAGGAGGAGGAGTAATCCTTGGATGAGAGTAGCATGTGCTGAGTTGATGGGGGATGGGGTATGCAGCACAATTAAGGAATACGAGGAAGAGATGAGGCAGGAATGCATCACACCATGCCCCGTAATCCTGGATGGCTCCACCAATCTTAAATGCACTCTAAAAGTCACAAAACAGAGGGTCACAAATGTTTTAGGAGTTTCATGTTCTGGTCTCCAGCAGGTCAAATGAGCACACAGAAGGCAGCTACAGATGTTTGGTTGCAGTAGCTACCTGCTGGGTGCTAGGAATCATCTATGCTCTGTGTGGAGTTTTCTTGGAAAGGCAAATTTATGTAAAGAAGAAGGGACAGAGAAAAAAAATCTTCTATCCCTTGGCTCACTTCCCAAGCGACTGCAACAACTGGAGCTGAGCTGATCCAAAGCCAGGAGCTTCTTCTGCATCTCCCACATGGGTGCAGGGTCCCAAGCCTTTGGGCGGTCCTCTATTGCTTTCCCAGGCAACAAGCAGGGAGCTGGATGGGAAGTAGAGCAGCCAGGATACAAACTGACGCCTATATGGGATCCCTGCCCATGAAAGGTGAGGACTTTAGCCACTAGGCTACTGTGCCAGGCCATGAGCAAAACATAAATTGATATCCTTTTTTCAAGTCTTATTATTTCTCTATTTGAAAGGCAGAGTCACAGAGAAGGTGATGAGGGGTGGGGGAAGGTAGGAGAGAGAGAAAGAGAGAGAGACAGAGAGAGAGAGAGAGATGTCTTCCCATCAACCTGTTTTATTCCACAAATGGCTTGGCCAGACCAAAGGCAGGATCTAAGACCTGTATTCCAGATCTCCCATGTTGATGGCAGGGTCTCAAGCACTTGGGTCACCATCCACTGCCCTCCCAAACTCACTGCAGGAAGCTGGATCAGAAGTGGATGCCAGCGTTGCAGGTGGCAATGACACTAACCCCTCTACTTAAAAAACAAACAAACAAAACCCACTGTATGTGAATGTACATACTGTGCATTTTTTTTGCTACATCTGTGGCATTGAGTGGTTGCCACTCCCATATCCCCAAATCCTTCATATTTGGTCTTTTACCAAAAAATAAAAAGTTGGCCAAAGCTGCTGTGGAATCTGATAGGGAAAGTAACAGGAAGTGAGACTCAGAGGTGAGTAGAGCCATAACAAGTGCCAAGAAAACACACGGACAACATGCCTGGCATGCCACCAGCCCTGTTGGGAGGTAGTCTGGGTTTAGCACGGTCACTTCAGAAAGCTGTTCAGCTGGATGTCTCCCAATGTGGAGACACTGCAACTCAGAAATTGTCCTAGGTCTGCATCTAGCAGGTGCTTGCTGCTCATTGTCCCTTGTCATGTTCATTGTATCTGCTTACCTAACCCAGGTATACTTCTCTCCTGAGTGTTCATTCCTTCAGAAGCAAGCCTATAGCCAGGTTATGGTACAGCATGTAAAGCTACTACCTGTAATGCCAACATCCCAAATGGGCACCAGCTCATGTCCCATCTGGCCCACTTCTGACCCAGCTCACTGCTAATGGTCTGGAAAAGCAGCAGAAGATGGCCCAAGTGTTTGGGCCCCTATTACCCACATGAAAGGCCTAGATGAAGCTCTTGGTCACTACAAACATCTGAGGAGTAAACCAATGGATGGAAGATCTTTCTCTCTCAAGTCTCTTTTTTATTTTTAAGGATTATTTATTTTGTTTAAAAATCATATTACCATAGAGAGAGGTCTTCTATCTTCACTCCCCAAATCACCACAACGGCAGAGGATGGAGGCAGTAACCAGGAGCTTTTCTGAGTCTCCCACATGAGTGCAGGGGTTAAAGCACTTGGGCCATCCTCTGCTGCTTTCCCAGGCCATAAGCAGAGAGCTAGATGGGAGGTGGAGCAGTCAGGACACAAACTGGTACCAGTTTGGAATGTTGGCATTTTCAGGGGGCAGACTGGCCTGCTGAGCCACCATGATCGCCCCTTCACTCTGATTCTTAAATAAGTCTTATTTTAAAAACCACACTGGGCCCAGCACGATGGCTCAATGGCTAAATCTTTGCCTTGTACATGCCAGGATTCTGTATGAACACTGGTTTGCATCTGGGCTGCTCCATTTCTCATCTTGTGGCCTGGGAAAGCAGTTAAGGACGGTCCAAAACCTTGGGACCCTGCAGCCATGTGGGAGTCCCAGAAGAAGCTCCTTGCTCCTGGCTTTGGATTGGTTTGGCTTTGGCCATTGTGGTTCTTTGGGGAGTGAACCAGCAGACAAAAGATCTTTCTCTCTGTCTCTCCTTCTCTCTGTAAATCTGCCTTTCCACTAAAAATAAATAAGTCTTTAAACACATACCACACACACACAATATTTGAAATGTCTGCATATTTTATCTGGTAATTTGCCATGATTTGTTTAGCCATACCCTAACTATTAGATATTTTAGATTCTTATTTTTACTTTGCTTGTTTATTTTCTTGCTATTAAAAATACTTGCATTAAAATAAACTGGAGTGTGTGGGGGGAAAAATAGAGAGAGAGAGAGAAGGTGAGAGAGAATTGATTGATTTAAGACAGAGGATGGGAGACAAATGTTTCCTTATGTATCATTGGTCTTCCTATGATTGCTTGGTTTTGTGCTTAGCTCTCTGGCATGTAGTGAGCTGGACTGACTGTTGACTGCACAGCTAGCCTTCTGGGGATGTCACTGTTGTTGTTGTTGTTTTTTTTTTTTTTCTGAGATTCCTGTGACTTTCTTGTCTGGATTGTCCTATTTCCTGGCTCCTGTGTCATTGTGGCTTACTCCCTTGCTGAAGGAGGATACCACATGTGCTGCCACCTTGCAGTAGCTTCTTGAGAAAGACAGATGTGAGAGCTCAGCTCATCAGACCTTGTGAGTCTTAACAGATGTCTTTGTTTCACCATAATCCTTATTAGTAATTGGATTACATGTGGAATTCTAGTTTAGAGTTTATCCCAGGTTTATTCCATTATTACATTATCATCTGACTTCCAATGTTGCTGTCGAGAAGTCTGAAGCTATTATGCTTCCTAATCTTTTGTTTTGTTTAATTTTAAATGTTGAAATTACTTCAGACTTACAGCGGAATTATGAGTAGTACAGAGAACTCCCACATATTCTTTACTCAGATTCACAAATTAAATTTTTTCTTGCTTTCGCACTCTTGTTTCTATTTCTGATTCTTTGTCTACACACAGACAGACACACATTCTTTATTGTTTTGCAATCATTTGAGTGTAGTTTCCATTATGCTCTCTTTGAGTATTGAAGTGTGCATGTCAACCATGACAGTGGCTATACAGGCTAGTGCCTGTATCCCATATGGGTATAGGTTCATATTCCAGCTACTCTGCTTCTGATCCAGCTTTGCTTATGACCTGGGAAAGCAGCAGAGGAGAAAGTCCTTGGGACCTGGCACTCACGTTGGAGATGTGGGTTCAGATCAGCTTAGCTTTGGCTGTTGAGGCCACTTGGGAAGTGAACCAAAGGATGAAAGATCTTTCTTTCTGTAAATCTGCCTTTCCAATAAAAATAAATGAATCTTAGGGAAAAAAAGAGAAACTTACTTTAAGACAGAGCGGTGAGGACATTCTCTTACTGCAGTGCACCCCTATGTTTGAGTTCTCATCTTGTGTGTGTGACCTGATGTCTCAGCATGAGAAGCATTCAGGATCTTGATTTTTCTATTCACTGGAAATTTCACAGCAATGTTTGTTGGTATTGTTTTATCATGTTCATTAGATTGTAAAATAATGACCCCTTTCCATTTGAAACACTTATACTTCTGCAAGGGATATTTTTACAAGTTATTTTCTTCATGTTGATCATTTCTTCTTTACTCTTTTCTGTGATTGTCCCTGGAATTCTTCACTCAGATGTTGGCCTTCCCGGACTGACTTTCTGTTTTCTTTTCTTCTTCTTTTTTTTTTCCTGCTTGTTCATCTTTCTCCTTTCAAAAAATTGTATCTGTTTATACAGTTGACAAGAGAGCGATCAAGCAAGTGCACACCTGCATTACTGGTTCACTCCCCCAGATGCCTGGGAGCCAGGACCCCAACCCAGATCTGCCGCATGGGTGACAGGAACCCAATCACTGGAGCCAACACCACTGCCTCTGAGGGTCTGCAATAACAGGAAGTTAGAATCAGGAACCAGAACTTGGTGTTGAACCCAAAGACACTGATACGTGATGTTGGCATCTTAATTAGCTTGTTAACTGCTAGGTCAGACACCCATGCCACTGGTTCTTTTTTTTTTTTTTTTTCATGCAGGTAAAATAGTGAGGAATACACGGGCGCAGTCTGTCCATGTCAGGGATCTTTTAGCTGCAGGGCATCCTGCCCCAGTGCTAGGTACCACAGATCACTATTTAGCCATAGCTTTTCCTCTACAACCAAACCACCATTTATCTTCTCTCTCCCATCTCTGATCCCCACACCTCACAGGATGATGAGAGCCTGAAGTACCTCACGCACGAGGAAAAGGACGTCATCCTGTTCTTTGAAGAGACTCTGGATTCCCTGGAAGATGACTTCGAAGAGCCAGCCCAGTGTGACAGTGGGATCCACTGCCACTCCCCGCAGTCTCTGGAGGAGAGCACTTCCAGCCACTCCGAGCCTGAAGACGTCATTGATTTGGTACCACCAGGACCTGCAGCTGGGGAAGCTGAGCACCTTCCGGATGTGACCCAGCCAGCAGGTGAGGGCTGTCCCCATGAGATGGGCATGTCTACCTTGACCAGTGTCAATGCTCTTGAGGCCTCGCAGATTTTTACCGGGAAGAGACAGGTATGTGGCCCTGTGGTTAAGATGCAGATTAGTGCACACATGCCAGGAAGCAGCAGGTACTTAGTAGCTCAAGTACTTAGGTCTCTGCCATCCACATGGGAAACGTACATTAAGTTCAAGGCTCATGACTGTGACCTGGCCCATCCCTGGCTGTAGTGCACATTTGAGGAATGAACTAATGGATGAGGTATATTTCTCTATCTCTGTTCGTGTCTTTTAAGTTAAAAAAAATTAAAACAGACTTTTAGAGATTTTAGAGATTAGCATCCTCAGTCTAATTGTCCAACAAAGAAACTCCAAAAGGACTGGAAGAAAGAATGAGACTAATTAATTATATAAGTAGGAAAATTGAATGGATGGATAGATGGATGGATGGTGAGGCAGGAAGAAGGGAGAAAAGGAAGGAAGGAAATTGGAAATGGCTTCCAGAAAATAATTGCATTCCCTTTCTTAAAGAAAGTTTTTTTTAAAGATTTACTTTTATTTGAAAGGCAGAGTTACAGAAAGAAGGAAAGATAGATTTTCCATCCTCTGGTTCATTCCCCCAAATGACCACAATAACTGGAAGTAAGCCAACAAAAGCCAGGAACAAGGAACTTTTTGTGGGGCTCCAAAGCTTTGAGTCATCCTCAACTACTTTCCCGGGCCACAAGCAGGGAGATGGATTGGAAGTAGAGGATTGGAGCATAAGCCAGTGCCTATATGGGATGTCAGCACTGCAGACAGGAGCTTAGCATGTTATGCCACAGCACTGGCCCCACAATCTATTCTATAAGGAAACATAGGAGACCCTAGTATTTCAGGGCAAGCCTCCACCCCATTTCTGTGTCCTGACTTCCTGAGATGTGAGTTTAGACTGAAAAGCCAGCATGATTCAGAGGCTAGCAGCAAAATTTGGCTCAGCATCTGCTATATCTGTTTCACCTAACTCCGATCAACTCACAGGGAACGGTGCCACAGGGTGGACTTGGAGGGAAGTGGACCCAGAGAAATTCCCTCTGGTCTGTGCTCTTCCTGATTCTTAGTGGTTACTTAAAGAAAAATGTGGGCAAGGAGGTAGGGCTGGGAAGGATGAGGAATGAAGAGGAGGGAATACTCTTGCTCCACTCACTTATAAAATGCTGCCATTCGTCATGAGCCTCCGGGAGTGTATGCATGATTGGAAGCATGGCTGTGTGTCACGCTGAATGTCACATGGGCCTGTTGTGGCTGATTTTTCCTCTTAAAGACAGAGCTTGTCTGCAGCCATCTCTCCTGAGAACAGACAATGTGAAACTCGTGGTTTTATTACACTTTTCTGCCTTGAAGTACAGCTCCTCCATGTCATCCAAGCCAGCTGAGCCTTTAAAACTGCCAGCTTCACCAGCATCCCATTTGGGTGGCGGTTCAACTCCTAGTTGTTCTACTTCAGTGCAGTTCCCTGCTAATGCCTCTGAGAAAGAGAGAAGAGGTCCCAGTGCTCACACCCACAGGGGAGACTCTTGGCCCCTGGCCTTTTCCTTCCTTCCTTCCTTCCTTTATTTATTTATTTATTTATTTATCTTTCTTTTTTTAAAGATTTATTTGAAAGGCAGATTTACAAACAGAGGGAAAGATAGAAAGATTTTGGACTGCCAGTTTATCCCTCAGATGGCTGCAACCACCAGAGCTAAGCCAACCCAAAGCCAGGTGTCAGCAACTAGGAGCTTCTGGGTTTCCCACATGGGTGCAGGGTCCCAAGGCTTTGGGCCGCTCTCCATGGCTTTCCCAGGCCATAGCAGGAAGTTGAATGGGAAGTGGAGTAGCTGGGACATGAACTGGTGTTTGCAGGCACAGGACTGCCAGTTGAGCCATCGTACTAGCCCTAGCCCCTGGCTTTGATCTGGCCAGTCCTGTCTGCCGCAGCCATTTGGGGAGTGAAACAGCGGATGGATGATCTTTCTCTCTCTCTCGCTTTCTCTGCCTTTTGAAACCTTGTCAGCTCACATAAACATGCTGAGGGAAACATGTTTTGAAAATAGGCCACCTATACCTACTAAGTTGCTTTTCAGAGCAGTTCTAAGTGCTTGCTCACTAACCACCTCGGTAGCCAGTACACTGTAAGAAAATGGGCAGGGCTGAGTTGGGGTTCTGGGGCAGGGCCCTGGGATCCCACCGAGGCTGCCAAGAGGCCTAGCTGGAAGGACCCAAGGGCGCTGCTGCCTGGGGTCCCCTTGGCGGGCTTGGGATGGTGCCCAGCAGCCCTTTGCCAGGATGCTTGCAGGTGCTGCTCACCTGCAGGCCTTGGGCTGGCCCAGATCAGGTTATTCTGGCTAGACTGGGCCACAGGGACTTGAATGGGTTTGCTCAGAGAGGCACTGTGCAAGTGTGTGTGGTGGGGAGGCAGAGGGAGTCGCTTCCCTTTGTGCTTCCCCTCAGTCCAGGGAAAAGGAACATATGCATTGCCAGTAACATTAAATGGCAGCTAACGAAGCTTCTTCCCCCTCCTCACAGAGGCTGCACCTGTCGGAAAGGAAGATACTCCCACTGCCCTCCCTGAATGTGGGAAACCAGATGCTGAGGGTTCACAGCCCCTGGACCCCACAGCACCAGATGCCCTACCTCCACCACCTTCCCTACCCAGCATGGAGGCCCCAACCTTTCAGAGGAAAGAGACGCTTTCCCCTCCTCCAGCAGAGCACCCAAAACTTGCCCGCTCTGTCCCCACCCCTCTGGTCATTGCCCAGAAGATTTCGGAGAAGCTGGCAGGAGGTGAAGCGTCTTCTCCTACATCACCCTCAAAGGAGAGCAGGCCTGGAGAATGGAGGACGCCGATGCCACCAGCGCCACGGTCCGGGGAGCCCCTGTGGCACCGACACTCGGCACAGCCCCCGCCCAAGGTGCACCGCTTCCCCAGCAACATCAGCGTGACCAACAGCGCGGGGAAGGAGTTCAACAAGACCATCTCCAAAGCTGCCGTCAACGTGCAGGAGCGCAAAGCCCAGGTCCTGGCCAACATCAATGGCGTCTCCTTCCTGGCTGCATCGGCCGCTGACAGGGAGGACAGGTGCCAGAAGAAGGAGTTCGCAGGGGAGCAGGGGAGAAACGTGCCTGCAGGTGCCGCAGCCTCTGAGCGGAGCCGAGCAGAGGCCGAGGCCCCTAAGGCAGCACAGACTGGCCGCCAGCACTCCCGAGGCGTGCAGACGGAGCGGAGCCCGTTGCCGGCTAGTGGCTTCCAGAGTATCCACGATGTCCTCCGGAGCGAGCCCAGTCCCTTTGTCTCCACTGGCAAGACCGTCACCTTCCGGCCAGACCCAGCCGTCACCAGTAGTAAACTGGTGCGCCAGAACGCCAGCAAGAGCTTCTACGCACACAGGCAGCAGCCAGAGGACGGAGGCGGGCCCCCAGCAGACGCAAGGCGGCGTGCAGGCTCGCTGCCCAGGGCGGTGGGCTTCAGACCCCAGGGCATCACCGTGCAGTTCTCTGGCCGAGGCTCCACTGAGGAGGCTCGCCGGGAGGCCCTGAGGAAGCTGGGGCTGCTGAAGGAGAACTTGTGACGGAAGCTCGAAGCTGCGGGAGGCATGATCGCCAGCGCGAGCCTGCTGGCAGGATGGCCACACAGACTGGCCTTTCCCGCTCTCATCCTGCACATCTACAACCTTCCCTGGCCAGGTGGCCAGGTCTTTGGGGGCGTTTTTGGGAGGTTTTTGGGAGGTGACCTGCCCAAGTGGGCAGGTCTTTACAGAGCAGAGCAGCTCCTGCTGCCCACCCTGGGGAGGATCCTGGAGAGAGGCAGCCAGTCTCCAGGGCTGGGGGAGGGAGGGTTGACACTACCCATGCTGCCCACCTCCTGGCCTGGCATCCTTCTGCAAAGGAAAACCCTAGCCTGCATCTTCCAGAACCGCAGTGTGGGGCGAACGGCCTTGAGGCTGAGGAGCTTTTGTGTGTTTTGGGGTTACAAGGTGGGGAATGAGTGTGATTTGTGATGCCTGACTTAGTCCCATATCCAGAGCCAGCACAGGACACAAAAGCTCCTACTCAGGATCCCCCCTCCTTTCCTGAGAGAATTAAAAATACTTGGTAAATGCTTTCATATATTTCTTCAGGTTGTTTCCTTCAGTTTTGAGGGGTGAACGATGGTACTTTGGTTCCAACTGTGCTTTCATTTCCTGACATAATTTTGGTTCCCCAGAGTTTTTACTGAAAATAACAGGAGATTATAATTTTGAGTCATGAGAGTGAAATGGAGAAGGTTGAATTTGTGGAAAAATGGTAATTTTGAGAAAGCCAGTCTCATTGCATTATCACATGAGTAGAAACTTCTAGAAACCCCAGATACGAGCGCTTCCTGTTCTCTTGATGTGCTCAGACACCTCGGCATTGTGACAGGCGACACGAGCAATTGTAAGCATCCCTTATGGACATCTGTGGTGACACAGAAGAGCCTTCCCTCAGCACTGGCTTCACCTGTTCCCAGAGTCTCTACTTCCACATCAGAAAAAGCATGCTGCCTTTGCAGTGAAGAGCACTGAAAAAGATTTGTCTTAGTCACCTCATTTTAGTTGTGTGTTTTCCAAGGGCACCAGTGAGCTGAAGGAAATAGTTATTGTTGTTGCAATTCTAGCCAAGTTTTATTGAGGAAATGAAGACAGAAATGTGGGTGATTAGGCAGGTGTCTCTGAGAGCTAGAAATAGATTCCTGGAAGTGCTCCTGCTGATCACGGTCTGCAGGTGAGCCCCTCAGAGGGACAGACGGTGAACAAGTTACACCATATGCCAAGAACTGGGTGTGTCCCAGGCTAAGGCTTGCATGCTGGGCTGAGGCCCCCCAGGGCTATGGTGGATGCCCCAGGAAGTTGCCCCCTTGAGTTGGTCTATGGTGAGTGTTTGTGAAGTTGAGACTTGGCAAATCCACCAGGAAGGACATTGTCCACAGTGTACCACTGATTGCGTCTGTTAACAAAAACCCATGAGGCTCCTCTCTGCCTTAGAGTTACAGGTCTCAGCCAACTTGTTCTCCCAAAGTCATCGAATGGATTCGCCAGGATCCTGATTCAAGTCCATTCTTTGATCTTTCAGCACTGAAAAAGGAGTTGGGTTTAGGTTTGCACCTGTTTCTGTTGAGTTTGTTGAAGGCATTCCTGAGGACTCCGTGTCCTCTTCACAGAGCAAAATACTCTCACAGCACCCAATATGGCAGGGCCTGACTGCAGCGGATGTTGTCAACGTCCCACGTGGGGCCATTGTTCTCTTACCCTATGATTGCGTTGTGCACAGGGTGAACTTGTCTATGTGTCAGTGTTTTGCTCTCCAAATCTGACAAAGAGTTTTACCATAAATATGAGCAACTTTATTTTCACATCACATGTTGTATTCTCAGGCATCTTCTTTTTGATGGTGATAGCCTTTTATTTATTCATAATTTCTTCCTAATTTATTCATAATTATCCTGGTGTGTGTGTGTGTGTTTGGTCCCTTCTGGTGCCACAGGCCCTGGGGATGAAAACCAAAGGATCTGTACAAGGTTCGCACCATAGCTGTCGGTGCCCTAGCCTGTAGGTGTCTCTCAGGTTAACACCATGCCTAGGCTGCTGAAGAGCACCACCGTCCCTGCCGTGACTAAGTGATGGGAATATCTTGAAGGTCATTTTGCTCAAGGGCATTTGCATGGCCACATTTGAAAGCAGAGCTATAGTGAACAGGAAAGCGGCTCCGCTGCTACACAGCCTGGGAGGCAGCAGACAGTTCCAAGTACTAGAATCTTGTGGGAGACCTGGAAGTGGTCTCAGTTCCTGGCTTCTGGCTTCGGCCTGGCCCACTCCTGGCAGCTGCTGCTAGCATCTAGGCAGTGAACCAGCCAGAAGGAAGCTCTCCATCGGTGTTGTCTCTCTGTCTTTCAATTAAGATGAAAATAAAGAAGAATGATGAACTCTGAGAGCCCAGAGCTGTCTTCTTTCTCAAGTGATGCTTATAAACCAGTCTTCATGCTTATGAATCTCTTTATCTTAATACTTGAAAAACAAGGAGAAAAGTTCTCCTTCACTCTCTGGAATGGGTGTGCAAATGACCAAACTGGAGCCTAGTCTGTAGCAAGTAACTTGGTAGGCCCCAAGGGGAGCAGGTGTCTTCCCCTGGGTCTCCCACCTCCTTACTGCCTGCTGTGTGGCCCCCTGTAGTCATTCTCTTTGCCTAAGCCCTATGCTCCCGCATGCTGGCTGATGGGGGAGAGACACAAGAAGCAGAGCCAGGAGGGGTTGGCAATGCTGTATTTCACAGGGTCTGATGGGAGGGAGCCTTAGTCTCTGCACTTTGGGCTGACTCTGAGCTTTTGAGGGAGACCCAGAGGGCAGGGCCCAAGGCCTGGGATGCCCTCCTGCCTCCTCGGGCTGCACAAGCTGACATGCACTCAGAATTCATGGTAGGCAGATCCCACTGGAGATGAAGATCTCTGTGCAGCTGGAACTCTTTAGGTTGACTTTCTTAAAAAAAAAAAAAAGAATTCAAGGGACAGGAGGCATGGGGCAGTGAGTGAAGCTGCAGCTCAGGACACCAGCATCAGAGGGCTGGCTTGGGTCCTGGCCACTCCCCTTCCACCCGGCTTCCTGCTCATGCACCTGAGACCCACAGATTTTGGTCCAAGTGCTTGAGTTCCTGCCATCCACGGAGGAGAGACCAGAATGGAGTTCTAGCTCATGGCTTTGACCTGGCCCAGCCCTGCCTCTTGGCATTTGGGGAAGGGGAGGGGGATTGAACCAGCAGATGGAAGATCTCTGTCTCTCTCCCTCCTCTCTTTCTGTTACCCTGCCTTTCAAATAAACAGATCTTCTAAAAGCAGTATCAGAAATGAATTCTTGGGCCCGGTGGTGTGGCCTAGTGGCTAAAGTCCTCGCCTTGAACACCCCGGGATCCCATATGGGCGCTGGTTCTAATCCCGGCAGCCCCGCTTCCCTTCCAGCTCCCTGCCTGTGGCCTGGGAAAGCAGTCGAGGATGGCCCAAAGCTTTGGGACCCTGCACCCGTGTGGGAGACCCGGAAGAAGTTCCTGGATCCTGGCTTTGGATCGGCATAGCATCGGCCGTTGTGCTCACTTGAGGAGTGAACCATTGGACAGAAGATCTTCCTCTCTGTCTCTCCTCCTCTCTGTATATCTGACTTTGTAATAAAAATAAATTTAAAAAATATAAATCTTTATTTTAAAAAAAGATTAAAAGAAAAGAAATGAATTCTTGTTCATTCCCCACAGCTCTGACTCTCCCACAGTTCTGAGCCTTTGAAGGCTTGGTGCTGATATCCCCCATCCAGAAGTCAGTCCTTTAGTTAAGAAGAAAGCAGACCTAGCGAAATATGACCATTCATTGCCTGAGACAGTTGCAGCTGCTGTGCTGACGTGTTATGGGCCCTCAGAGGGCATTTGATCGCTGTGACATGGCACAATAAATCTGCTTTTGCCCCAAACTGCAAACAAAGGAAAGTGTCCTCTGAGTGAGTGGTACCCTTGTCTTGCGCTGCCGGCCCTCTGCCTAGGGCCCCAGCCTGCAAGGAGGAAGGGGAGGCTCACCTGGGAAAGGTTCCTGTTTCCAAGTGCCAGGACAAGTCACCAAACAGGTTTTGTGTCTTTCTTCTCTTCACAACAATCCTTTTTTCCCCCTCTCTCTTCCCTGCTTTCAAGTATGGGAAACAGGTTCCCCTATCCTTTTCTGATCTGCTGGTTGAACAAGCCCTGCTTTTCAAATATCTGAACGCAGGGGGAGGCTGAGCTGTCAGCTGCCACGTCCTGTGGAAACTTGAGCTCTTCGTCCTTGGACTTCATGCAGAGACACAGCTGTAACTCCTGTTCAGGACAGACTGCTTCCCCCAAGCCTGCTCCAGCATGGCCTCCCCCGCCAGCCCACTCCTCATCCTCCTGCATCACTGCCTTTTCTAAACAGAAGAGCTTTGGGGGTGGGGAGAGAGAGACAGTGCCCACCGTACAGCAGAAAGATTCCAGGGCACCTCCCAATCCACTCTGTGGCACAGAATTGTCAGCCATTGGGGTGGTGGAGTCCTTCCAAAAAGGTCTGTTTATGTTTTTAAAGTTTAATTTTATTTTTATTGGAAAGTCAAGTATATGGAGAGGAAAGAGAGAAGATCTTCCATCCATTGATTCACTCCTCAAGGGGCCACAAAGGCCAGGGCTGAACTGATCTAAAGCCAGGAACCCGGAGCCTCTTCCAGGGTGGGTACAGGGTCCCAAGGCTTTGGGCCGTCCTCCACTGCTCTCCCAGGCCACGAGCAGGGAGCTGGTGGGAAGCAGGGCCACCTGCAGCTGTATCGGCCTGTTTGGAAGCTGAACTAATGGAACTGCATCATTGATCAACAGGTCACACTCCATAAACTTTACCCTCGGGTGTGCAAGAAGCAGGGCTGCCAAGGGGAGTCACCTAGATTCCGGAAATACCTTTGAGAGGCGGGGCTGAATGAACACACAACCCTGTGCCAGACATACAAGGCCACTGTGCTTGAGCCTGCCTGAGTTTCCGTGTGTGTACGCGCATGTATGTGCCTCCTTGCACATTGCTGTAGCCACTCACTCCTAGGCAACTGCATTGACTAGTGATGACTGGGGTGTCTTGAACCCTGGGCCTGCCCTTGCCACTGCAGATACCCTCAGGCATCCGTGGTATTGATGAAA